ATTATTTCAAAATTTAAAAATGTCAGGAAATGTCAACAACTGCTTTGCAGAATACTGACCTGGATAAAGAAACTCTTGTGACTACTTAGAAATGTCTGAGGCTCTTAACTAATGAGTTAACTCTGGAAGAATATAATCTAACGCTATAAACCTAAGTTTCTTGGTATCATTGATTTCATTGGGGAGATGTCAAATATGCCCAAGCTTCCTTGATAATTTCCATTCTGCTTTGAACTCTGGGAAGAAAGGCAGTAGGCCCTGCAAAGGTGTACTTGCTCTGCATTTTTTGCATATGTTCAGAATTGTGGTCCTGAACATAGTCCATGTTCCCCTGTGACTGGTGACAAGCCACCTCAGTTTGGATGATCAGAAACAGATGTCAAAGGGCTAAAAATATTTATGAATAATGCTAAAGCAGCAACAGCCCAGCTGAAGGCCAGCCAACTCATCAAGTTTGGTAAATCCTGCAGAGAAATATTAACGTAGTTTAACCTATGGATCAACTGACCTGTAATGCAGTTTTATCATGCCCAAGGCTTTTGCCTCAAATTGGAGGAACAAAAGACAACCTTGGAACATTCTCAAGATGCTCAAGAACACGAAATTCTTATCAAAGCCTTCCTGTCCTTCAAGAACATAGAAGTATATGATAGCAAGCTAGAACAATCAACTGTGATTTCAACAATCATTTTTCAGTTAGGATCTTACTTTTTTGCATTGCTCTTAACTGAATTATTCTTTTACATTTTCATAAGAACTAAATATGGAAAAGGAGTCACAAAATGAAATGGATTTCTTCTGAATCGTTTGTATTTATTCTAAGAGGCCTCATCCTCAGGACCAGCTTCTCTATCACTGTGGAATCATTTCTAGAGAAGCTAGGGCAGGACTATCTCTGACCATTTCTCATCAGTAGTGAGAGATAGGTGGACAGAGATGACCACAAACAAGAGCAACAACAAATCAACATATCAGATCACAACTGAGGTTGAAATTACTGACTAGGAAAACAATGACCTCCACCTAAGTGAGCAAGGGAAGCAACAGAAACCCTGAGCATCATGGGAAGTAGGGAAGGAGGGCCAGCACTCCTCTAAGTAACTTCTGCAGCTGAAAAACTTGATTCCATTCCACAAGCTGGCCTGGTGTGGAACAAGGACTCCACTTACAGCTCCTGTTAGGGATCCTGGCACAAAACAATCGGAGCATTCCACCTACTCAAACCACACATCTGAAACTTTTAGAAGTGCTGAGCCAATGTTCATGCTTGGTATTTCCAACAGTTATATCTCATGAAAGCAGATTCAGCTATACAAAAGAAACTGCTGACATAAATCCTTCAAGTCATTTGCATATGCTTAGTTTTTAAAAATGAGTTTGTAATCTTATCTGAAATCTTCCCTAGTCATCAGAAGACTTACATCTTCTTCAGTTTGGGTCAAGTCTCTTTGATCTTATGCAAAGGTTAACAGTTTTGTCTAATTCTGATCATAGTTTTCATAGGTAACTCAATTCACTTTTAACTGATCTATTGCTGGCCCTATATCTTCTTTCAACGGTCAGGGTTTGCTTTTCTCACACAGCATCTTCCAGTGTTTTTTTCTGTTAGTTTTTGTTTTTCTATTCAGCAATTAAAATGTTCAAATTGATGAAATCAGTGTGACTGTGGAGTCTGTGAATTCTCAAGGGGGACAAAATCCCCCATGGAAGCAAAGTGTTCAGTGAAACTTAACCCAAAAAGTTTTGTCAGACCATTCCTGATTCCATTGAGCCCTGGGCAATGATTTGACTTCAGATGACAAGCCCAAATGCAGTCTCTCTTAAAACTTAAGATCTTTTATTTGAGAACTAGCAGCTGCTACAGATTCAGTCTTATGCCATATATGTGCTAAAGGATGAGAGACAGCATAGTTGGCAAAACGCTTGCCAGCTAAGCAAGAGGAACTAAATGGAGATCTCCAACATCTACTCAGAAAGCTAGGCATGGCTGCATGGCTGTAATCCCAGTTGTTGAGAGGGTCAAAAGGAAGATCCCAGGAATACAGTGGCCAGCCAGCCTAGACAAATTGATGAGCTCCAGTTCCAGCCTCAAAAAGAAAGTGAAAAGCAATCAAGGAATGTATCAGACATCAGCTTCTGGGCTCTAAACACATATATTCAAACACACACACACACACACACACACACACACACACACAGAGAGAGAGAGAAAGAGAGAGAGAGAGAGAGAGAGAGAGATTCCAGACTACAAGTTATAGCAAAATTGTAAAACAAGAAAGAATCTGCTCTTTAGGTCGTGCTCACAATAGAGGAGCAGTAGCAAGAAAAAAAATCTGCTTTTGTTTCTGAACTAGCAGTATAAAGCACCCGGTGAACATACAACATGATTCTTAATGAGAAGCCTGTGTTGTCACTCGCATTTAAATGTTTACTTGGTGCCCTGGGAAATGGTTCTAGAACGCCAAGGTGTTGACAAATTGCTAAGGACTGTGCTAAGCATCCTCATTAGCTCAAGCTTGAAGTAACTCACTGAACAGCCCCCAAGCTTCACAGTTGGTCGGCAGGGGATCTGTGCACTGCAGCTATAACTTTTCCCAGCCCAAGGCAAAAGCAGCTGGGAAGAGACAAATGTGTGATGGCATTTGATCTGTGACTAAATTAAGCTTGATGGTGCAGCTGGGACATTTCCAACTTGCAAAATATCCAACATTTGTGGGAGCTGGAACTCTTCTGGAAACATCCATGGCTGTAATAATCATGTCTGAATGTGTTCTACCCTAACGCCATCCTAAGGTTTGCGACTCCTGTAAAAAACATTGCATTCACTAAGTTAGTAGATGTGCAGACACCATTTGCCAATAAAATATATTCATGTTACTTCATATTATTCTTCCCACAAGCCTCAAAGCATCACTATCTGATTTAATAAAGAAAACATGGAAGTTCAAAAGCCTTAATCATACACACATAAATATTGCCAGAGACAAACCAGTTTCAGCTGACAAACAAGTCTAGAGATATAAACTTAAAGTCGGTTGAACATGCTTTCACTATTCAGTGTTTCCAGAAAAAGAAGAATTACTCTTCTTGGGGATTGGAGAGATGACCCAGTGATGAATTGTTCATGCTGCTCTTACAGAGGACTCAAGTTCAGCTCCCAGAACCCAATTCGGGCAGCTCACAAGTATCTGAACTCCAGTTCCAGGAGGACCCAATGCTTCTGGCCTCTATGGACACTGACCCATGTATGCATGCCCATACACAAACACACACATAATTTAAGAGATAAAACTATACCCCTCCACACATACTAATAAAAGCGGTACTCCTTTCAAATTATCTCATGAGAGCAATTAAGTTTGACAGAATGATTTTTATTGGGTAAGTATCTGTCTTGGTTAAGGCTGAGCTGACCTGACAGTGCTTGGCTTCAGTGGTTAGTGTTACACCCCAGTAAGGTACTAGGTGAGAGAAAGAGAACCACTACATGATCTTCAGTGGAAGATAGGATACTTGAAAAAAAAAGAATGGATCCTGAAATTGAATAATCACCTCACCATAGTGATATGAAATGACCAAATAGTAGTTTATATAAAAGGAAAGGATGCTATGTGTCCAAAGACAGCTATCTGTTCATTTCACATATCTTCTCACCTGTGACAGCAGGTCACTTGACTAAGGAGTCTCACCCTCAAACCCGCCCTAGGATCTCCCACCTCAGATCCTTTACTCAGGCAATTCTTTGCTTCCTGTCCTCCCCAGGCATAGGACTTTTATTTCTGCTTCTCTTTTCTATCAAACTAAACTTTTCCAGAGACTAGAGCATTGTCTTTTTATCTTTGGATATTAATAAAGACTTACTATGATGGCTGAAGCTCAATAAAATTGCCTAGAAGGGAGAACAAGCTTCAAGTTTCAAAGATCTAAGATAGTAAGACTTAGGTCACCTTAGATTAAGTGGAGACCCTGAAGATGGAAGCAACATTGCAACAAAAGAAGCATTGTTATATTTTCTGAAATTATTTTTTATCATAATTATCAATTCTGAATTTTAATGTCACAAAAGGAGACCATGAAATTTATCCTTGCTTTATTAAACTAGGGCAAAAAATGATTTAATCTCTCACAGTGTGGAAATTTCATCATCTGTTAAAGAGAAAAAGTAGTCTTGCTGGCATGAGATGAATAAGCTGGTATGTCAGACTTGTTTCATCACCTGGCACACAGTAGCTTGCAGAAGTAATTAATATAGTTGTTTTTTATATTGTTGCTATAGTATCATTATTACTGGTATTCTCTGAATCTTGATGACTTTGAATAAGTCCTTGGGCTCTAATTTCTATCTCACTTTCTCAGTTAGATAGTGACTATATATATAAATATATATATATAATTCCTTCTGGATATTAACTTCTAAGATCTTTTCATTATTTATTTATCTATTTACTTACTTACTTATTCATATTTTGATATCTCGACCACATTTTCCCCTCCCTCCTCTCCTCCCAGTCCCTGCCACCCTGAATCTCCCCTCTCCCATGTCCCATCAACTTTACCTTGGTTTTTCTTTAGGCAGGCCTCCCATGGATATCAACCAGCCATGGCACAGCAAATTGCAATCAGACTAGTCACCTCCTTTATATTAAATATGGACAAGGCAGCCCAGTAGGAGGAAAGGGTCCCAAAAGTAACCAAGAGTCAGAGATAGCCCCTTCTTCCTGCTGTTACGAGTACCAGAAGATCTAAGATAGTAAGACTTAGGTCACCTTAGATTAAGTGATGAATACCAAGTTACACAACTGTAGCATATATGCAGAAGGCCTAGGTCATTCCCATGCAGGCTCCCCAGTTGGTGGTTCAGTCTCTGTGATCTCCGTGAGCCCAAGTTAGTTGGTTCTGTGGATTTTCTTGTGGTGTCCTTGACCCCCTATGGCTCCAACAATCCTTCCTCCTCTCTTCAGCAGAATTCCCCAAGCTCCATCTAATGTTTGGCTGTGGTTTCTGAATCTGTTTCCATCAGTTGTTCGGTAAAGGCTATCTGATGACAAATGGGCCGGGCATCAATCTATAGACAGGTGTAAAATGGAATCTCAGAATCATTTTGATTTGCATTTCCCTGATGGTTAAGGATGTCGAACAATTCTTTAAGTGTTTCTCATCCATTTGAGATTTCTCAATAGAGATATGTACCCCATTTTTAATTGGATTATTTGGTTTGATGATATCTAGTTTCTTGATTTCTTTATATATTTTTAATTTTAGCCATCAGTCAGATGTAGGGTTGATGCAGATGTTTTCCTATTCTATAGGCTGCCATTTGTCCTGTTGACAGTGTCCTTTGCCCTACAGAAGCTTTTTATTTTCATTAGCACCCATTTATTAATTGTTGATCTTAGTGCCTGTGCCTTTGTGATTGTTTTTCTGTTCAGGAAGTTGTCTCCTGTGCCAATGTGTTAAGGCTATTCCCCACATTCTCTTCTATCAGATTTAATGTATCTGGTTTTATGTTGAGACCTTCTATCCACTTGGACTTGAGTTTTGTAACATCTAAGATCTTAGATCACTCAGTATTTAAAAATTTTAACTTACTATGCAGTACATGAAAATTTCAGGCCCCTAATATTGTCTTCTTTATATCAAATACCTTTATACCTTTATATTATAATGTTACATGCACAACTGTATATTATAGTTCCTGCAGTATGTAATGGAAAAGTGGAAGCCAACTGAATTTTGTTCTTTAAGCCTTTTAAAGCAATAACCCAAGCCCACACAATGTAATAAAAAAATTCTTGTGTGATTTTACACAGATAGTACATTAAAGTTTGAAAGATATTAGAGTAGTTTCCAAGAAATGTAAAATGTTCTCACCAATGTTCATTGCCATCTTGAAGTATTTGAGTTTTCTAACTTGTTGTGATTCTATAAAGAAAATGACAGTAAATTTAACTGAGAACCAAATATGTTGATATAAAAGGCAATTTTTCATCTATCATCATTCTCCTCTTATTCTTAAAAGATTATATTTTCAGCTTATCTACTTTCAAATAGTCCCAAAATAACTGTTTGATTATAGGAATCTTGCTCGCATACTACACCTGAAGTATGACATTTTAAATTGCATACTCCTTTCACTTACAGTGTTTAAGGAAATTCTCAATTTTTTCTGCAATTTTTCATTTAGAGATGGAACATAATATTTGCATGGATTCCATTGATAACTGTGCAAATCAAGAAGTATTATCACACTTTGCTTTGTAGCAATGGTCTTGGATAGGCATATCCAAGGACATACACATAGACACCTACCTGGGGTTTCAGGATAACATAGTGTAAGGATACCTGCTTCCATGGAATAAGAATGTACTCTGAGGACTCCCTCCTTCAGGACAATAATCTCTCCTGTTTTCATCTCCTTGAACCTGGCTTTTCTTACTCATCTTTCTTTGTCCTTCTACTTTTCTCATTAAACTGTAGGTTCGGGGAATCCCTACAGCCTAGTTTTGTCCTTTTGCTAATGTTAAGTATTCTCAACTGCTCTTAGTTTCTACAACCACTTCCAAAATAATGGACTCTGATGCCATGACCCTATCTGCACATGTTCATGAACTACAGGTCTCTATAACCATTTGCTAGTGGGAATGTCTATTCGTTACCTTTCTTGTTCTTGTGATCAAACTCCTAAGAAAAACAACTTAAAGGAAGAAGTGTTTGTCTAGGCTTCCTGTTGGAAGATACAGTCTATTACCATGATAAAATAGTTATACCAATGGCATGGGACAGGTGGTCACATTTCATCTGTGACCAGGAAAGAAAGGTGAAAATTGATGGTCAGCTTGCCTTCTTCTTTTCATTCGGTACATGGAGCAGTGCCACCCACATTTAAGATGGGTTTTCTCACCTCATTTAACTTGTTCTAGGAAATCCTTCACACTCAGTACTCCACTGTTCTCTCGGAACCCAACAGTGGCATCTCAATGAGTATTTTTTTTTAATTTTATTAATGTATTAAATTTATTTATTTTTTTTTCTTTTTTTTTAATGCTTTTTTATAGCATGTTTTACAAGGGGAGGGGGTAAGAAGGGCAAGGTGGTGGAAAAGTACAAAATTTTCTTGGCCTGTGCCTTGAAACATGTCATGGTCTATAAGGTACTCTGCCTTGAATTATGATCTACCTGCTGTTCTAAAGAAGATATGGTACACTGCTTGAGTTATGGTCTCCCTGCTATTCTTAAGATGATATGGTACACTGCTTTGAGTCTATCTGCAGTTGCTAAGCAGGATCTTGCAGTTGCCAAGCTTCAGAGGACATTGTGCAGGTGGGGAAAGGTAGGGGGTGAGGGTAAGGGCGAGGGTCCTGGCTTCTGGCATCTCCCCCTTCTCTGTTTAGTTAGAGAAGGCATCTTATGATCAATCCCAACTATGTGAATTTTGAATTTGGATGTCTAATTATGGGGGGTCTTAGACAAGTTCACAACCCCAAAACACTGATGTGAGACGAGTCATATCGATGGTCGAAGGCTTTAGGCTGTCGACGATGGGCAACGTCAAGGGACTCCGATGTGGGTGAAAGGAGGGTGAGAGCCCTGTCTTAGGCCATGTAGGCTGCACCCACTCCCAGCACCACGCACTCCTTTTTGGCTGCATTGGGTGGGCCCCTGGGAAGTGGACCTACAATAATCCCGTCATTGGGCTAACTCACAGCCATCCTAAGTCCCTTTGTGAATGTTCAAGTTACCAACCATTTGTCAGTTTGGGGTGTAATATTGTCATAAAGGAAGGCTCCCCAATGTTAGCGGCCATATCAAGGGCGGCCTTGGTTTAGGAAAAAGCCAATTTTTGTTGTGGTGATCAAGAGGCCAAGCTCTCTAGCGAGAGAAGCGAGGACAAAGCCAGGCATACCAGGAACCCTTCTGGAGGGTGTGGAAGTCTAGCGGTCGACCGTAGGGGGAGGCAGGGGAGCTGGCAGCTGTGTCAGTCTCCTGCGGAGTCACTTCTGGATCCTCTTCAATTTTTGGCTGATGGTAATGAACTTCAACCGTCTTCTTGATGGCAGCATCAACCTGGTTCCGTGGATGGCAGGTCGCCGGCAACGATCTCTGTCTCACTCAATCTTGATGTCGTGCGCACATCCTCTCAATGAGGGTCCGTCCAGAGGGGTCCATGCCTCGAGCCCCATGTCTGGGTGCACTTGACCCGACCGGCAGGTCCTAGTTATTCGTGGGGGCGAGGAGGACTGCAACCTGCTATTCTTCAGAAGATATGGTACACTGCTTGAGTTATGGTATCCCTGCTATTCTTCAGATGATATGGTACACTGCTTTGAGTCTATCTGCAGTTGCCAAGCAGGATCTTGCAGTTGCCAAGCTTCAGGGAACCTTGTGCAGGTGGGAAAAGGTAGGGGGTGAGGGTAAGGGCGAGGATCCTGGCTTCTGGCCCATCTGGATTAGAACTTCTAATAGCAGGCATCACGGGTGATTCATTTTT